AAAACATGTTAGAAATCCATCATAAGCTCTTTAAAACTAAATATAACAACAACTGATATTATTTATTATGCAAATACAACAATAACTCACAATTTTGAGGGGTTACTCTCAACTTCTCTAAGAACTCAGGAAATAATCCACCACACAAATAAATTTTCTGTTCAGGATTTCATGTAAATAACTGTAATTTAGCATGCCGACTTAAATAATAAGTCATAATTTAATGTTAATAAACATTAAAGTCAATGGATGAAACATGTTTTTAATTATAGAAACATAATTATTTTGGCATTTACCAACACTGATGATTTAGGTCAGCTGTAGTATAAACGTTACACTGCGTGGTGGTCTAATAAATGAGCACTGTATAAATGTATACGACAGAAAATAAGGCATAGGTCCACTTTAAGTTGCTGATGCCGCGAAATGATGGCAGTGCCGCTCACGGCAGAGTCATCTTTAACTGAAGTTCAGCTGCAGTTCCTCCTGCTTTAATGGACAATCGCCTGCTCTGATTTTCTCAGCTAATTCTTAGCATATTTTCCAACATGATCAAGTATTCCTTTAAACCTCCAGGCACAAGCACGGTTTAGCTAAACTGCTTGAAGTCTGGGTCGGTTGTATAATTTAGCAACGAGCTCACATTTTAAGTCTCAGAACCAAAAAAAGGGCATCTTTATTTTTGCTACGAAATATCCGTAAAATGAAGCACCTGAAGGAGAGGAAACCAAAGTGCGGCTGTTTATGGTTGAGTTTTTTCTTTTTTTATCCTGGAACAGAGATGTCACTTTAAGCAGCACGTCTGAATTAAAGATGAGTTCAGAAGGTAAATAAAAAAGCAAACAAACAAACAAACAAAAAGAAACAAGAAAAAACCCTTCAGGATGAGCTCCGAGCAGACAAACGGACAAAGACCAAGTAAAAGTTTGGTTCAGCTTCTTTCAAATATACATCTTAACTTGCACGCGCGCACACGCATACAGAGTCTTTCAAATATACCAGAAACCAACAAGAAGGACAACGACAACAACAAAAAGAATAAGAATCCCACACAGATTTAAAAAAATAGCGAAAAGTTCTTTGTACACTTCGAACAACTAGTAACATGTTCTCACCCCTGACGTACAGCATTCACTCCCAGACGCAAGGTTGCAAGCTACAGCGAGTGCTTTATAAAAACGCATGGTCACAGTAGTTCAAATGAAATGGCTCCTTTTGTTTTTTTCTGAATAAATAAAACAGTTGTGACAAAACAAAAAAACAAAAAAACAACCTTCATTACAAAACAACCAGTGCAGGACTTCCACGTCTTCTGACTTATTATTTAAAAAGAACTACAGCAGCTGTTTGTTTTTTTTGCTCCCAGTTTGGAAATAATTTTTTTTTTTTTTTTTAAAGAGACTCATGGGTGGAAAAACCTTTCCTGAGCCCATCAACGCACGGATACAGCCCACTGCACCACATTAGCGAACTGGAAATGAGAAAGCTCTTCGTAAAAACCAGAGGAAATCTTTAAAAGTCGTCGGTGCTTACAAACGCTTCTCGCTCTAAAAAACAAAACCACACTCTCCTCTCTTTAGGTTTGCGTCAGGTACGTGAGGATGCCTCCTCGCTGCCCTCTGACAAAGTCAAACTTCTCTTATGTACCGCGCTGACGTGATGTCAAGGGGTGGGGGCGGAGTCTGGAAGCAGGAGGAGTAAAAAACAAACAAACAAAAGTGGTTGAACCGAGAGGAAGAGCAGGACGGCAAAACTATGGACAAAGGACTCAATGTTTTTTTTCTCTCGGGGGAAGGAAGAGGAGGAGGAGGTACTCAGGGAGACAGGAGGAAGAAAGAAGGAATAGTTCTCCCAGAATTCATTGTGGCTGGTTGTTAGGAGAACAGTGAGGAGGGGTGGTTCAGAGAAAGAGAGACAAAAGGAAGGTCACTAAAGAGGAGGGGAAGGCGAGCAGCAATTAGATTTGAGATTTGTTCTGTCTCTCATCGTCTACTTTACAGAAGTTTTGTTGGTTTTTCTCCAGATGAACAGCTTCAGAACTTCTTGGGGCCCCAGGCCGATGCCTGCTTTGGGGCTACGCCTGTCCCGAACGTGGGGAAATCCTCGGCGCTGCTCATGTCGGGAGCCTGGAAGGAAAACACACGGTCTGATGGGCCCTTACTGCACAGACATCCCTCCAGCAAAAGGATCATGTCATTAAACTAAGACATCCCACCTTGTTCCCAGCCGCGTTCCAGGGAGCGTCCCGCACCACAAAGCCCTTAGCCGGACCCCCGCTGCTGTCGTCCCCTCCACCTGCTCCGCCTCCCCCTCCGTAGCGAGATGGAGGCTTCATGTAAGCTGCCAAAGTCTCTGTCTCCGTCACGCTGAGCAGCTGAGAGAGATGAACAGAAGGAAAACTGCTCCTGAAAACAGCCTTTGTTGATGAGTCAGAATGATTTTCATTTCCTGGCCGGAATCCTGTGGATCTACTTGTTACCCCGAAGGCATGTAAAGCAATATATTACATTTAAAACATACTTACAAAATAACAGAAACATGATTGCAAATATACCACAAATCTCTTTATCTGGTACAATAACTCGCAAACCTCAACAGATAAAGTGTTTTTTGGGGGGGATTTCTGTCACAATTTATTGGAAAAACACATTTTCATCGGTGGGTTTTAATTATGATTATTATGCCTCAGAGTTCATTAATATCATGAATATTTCCTCAAATCCAACAAAAACAGATTTAAAAATACAGAAATGTAAAACAAGCAAAACAACCAGATTTAAATTTGGCTGATCTCCCCTTCAAGGTCGTCTCCTCTTGTACCTCTGTGCTGCTTTGAACCTCGCTGCTGTTCTTAGATCGCGTCCTGTTTCTGACTGCTAGCGCTTGACTGAGAAGCATGCTCGTCATGTTTAACCCTAGAACCGCCAAAGAGGTCATTTTGACCTCCTGTGATTTTAAAAATCATGCAACGCCGTTAAAGTAAAACCCAATCATCTCATATTTCATGACCTTTCCTAAAATGGGTTTGTTCATCACTGCTGAGGATGGAATTTTAGCCGCATGTGCAGGACGTGTGCTGTAACTGCATCTCTGTCTTATATTCAGTGAACTCACATATTCCTCCTCCAAGTTGAGCAGGTGATCGATGGCGTTATCAACAGTCTCAGGAAGGCCCGTCACCGTCACTTTGTCAGGCTCGTCCGACCCCGGCTGAGGGAACCGGATATCCACCTGAGAAACCAGAGGAGTGAAGATCACACATTTCCTCGTTTAACTTCAAAACGAGCGATCTATGAATCGATCCAAACCAACCTTGAACTCCTCCATCAGCTTGCGGATGGCTTTGCCGCGGGCCCCGATAATGCGGGCGTGGGTCCTCGGGTCCAGGTGAACGTCTTGGCTCACCATCTCCTGCAGCTCAGCGACAAGCTGCTGGATGGCCTGGCGCGCCTCCTCCACGTTACGCTCGTACCCCGAGATTACGATCAGATCCTGGGAGGAAAAGGAAAGGATTTGAAGTGATCAATGGGAACGGTTCGGCACAGAGCCAGGAAAAGACAAAAAAGGGAAACGGACCTGCTGCTCGTCTCCTTTGTCGGGGAACTGGATGCTCACGTCGTGGTCTTTTCTGATCTGAGAGATGACGGCTCCTTTGCGGCCGATAATCTTGGGATGAAACTTTGGATCCACAGACATGGTGACCTTGAAACTACGCAGGGCCTGAGAGGAGACAGAGCCACTGTTTTCTTTCTTTTTTAAATACATGTTAAAGAATAAGAGATACTACACACGCTACACATTCACTGCTATCAGGAAATCATGACCCCCTGTGGTAATCTCCTAACTTTAAGAATTAAACTTGTGGTTCCATTTTTTCCCCCTTTCAAAGTTTTTTAAAGAGGTTTGTCTAATCTGGATGGATGGCGTAATGATTGTGGATGATGAATAATCTGAAAATCTGTCGCTACGATCACGAGAAGCAAATGAAAAACTGAACTGTGATGATAAACATGACAGTGTGTGCTTGTACCCTGTCCTCCTGCTCGGCCTGCAGTTCTTTCACCCTCTCCAGCAGCCCCTGTTTGGCTCGCTCCACGTTGGCTGCCAGGCCCGTCACCTTGATCACATCCAGCTGCTTCTCAGGCTGCGGCACCCAGATGTTCACCTACGTACACAAAACCCCAAAGTTCACACGTTTGGAAAGCACGGGTATAGAAAGTCCCAGTAGATGGCACCAGAGAGCAGCAGCGTGTCGCCTTACCTCGTAGTCTTCCATCATCTTCCTGATTCCAATGCCCTTCTGGCCAATGATGTAGCGATGCAACTCATAAGACACCTCCACGTCCTCTGTTATGGGCACCAACGCCTGAAGGAGGAGTCACAGGGCATGTGCTCAGAGATATTAATGAACGTTAAACAGCGTCACATCTCAGCTTAATGAAGATAGCGCCTACCAGAAGGGCTGCTTTAGCCAGCTCACATTTCTCTGCCCGCCCAGAAATGGTGATGATGTCACACTTGCGGGGCACAAACTCCGCCTCTGGACTAACCTCACCGTTCTCCTGTGGCGAAACCTCCTGAGCTGCAAGTTTACAATGAGAAAAACAGGGATTAAAAGTTTGTATTTTGATATACAACTCTTAAACACTGATTTTTTTTATACATGTAAAAGAATACGAAATACTACACATGCTACAGACTCACTGCCATCAATAGATCGTGATCTGGTGGAACTTGAAGGATTGAAGAATTACACTCTACCCGACTCTGCTAGGAACAGCTAATTGTGTTTGTGTTGCCATCAGGGAAAGTGCACAGTGCTGTGCGACTATGCAGCGTCAACAATCATAACACTGACTGACCGTTATTTCTCCCATCTCTTCTTTGACATTTTAATTTCCCTTTATCAGCTGTTCTAAATGTTGATGCGGACAGATGAGCAGGTAGGGAGGAAACTTGAGAAAGGCCTGCTCATTTCTAACCTAGTGTGCTAAACCGCAACATAAACCCCTCTGCAGCGGCAACATCTTCACAGCAGCAGCAGGACGTAGCTGCGGGTGCACGTCGTGGGTCGTTTCTAACCTGCAGCGCTGTCGTCTCTCTCAGGGAACTTGATTTGCACCTCGTGCTCTCTGGTGATGTGCTGGATGCGGCAGCCTTTGGGGCCCATGACGGCGCGATGGTAGCGCTGAGGGATTGCCACCTCCACGGTCACCTGGGACTCCTGCTCGAGAGAGAGGAGGAGGAGGAAAGAAGAAAACACAAAAGGTGAGCACACCGGGAGCAGGTTCGATTCCAATTATAAATAATGAACTTATTGAAGAGTCCTTGAAATAACATCCATGTCTGTCCAAAGTAGAAAACTTGCAGCTACTTTTGACAGGATTTCTGTGACGTTCACACAGTCAGATTCTTATAAATCAGCTTTGACCTGAGTGCAGATAGCGACCGTTTGTCTCTACGCGTTTTCCGTCTCTCACCAGATCCTCGATGATCTCCTGGATGCGTTTCTTTGCGGCCTCCACGCAGTCCTTCGCTCCCTTCAGCGTGACCCGCTGGCTGTTCGCTCCAGTGCGAGGGAAGCTCACAGCCACGCCGCCGTACTCCTCAGCCAGCTCCCGCAGCACCTGTCCTCTCCGACACACGAAGTGGCGGTGATGGCGAACGTCCACCACCATCCTGTCCTCCACCACGTCGTCCTGCAAAGGGAGACGGCGAGATTGTTGATTTGAAAAATCAACAATCAAGACATGAATTAAATGGTGATGTTTTGTAGGACAAAGGTCGTCACCAGATTTTTGACCAGACTTTCCAGCTCCTTCTGGGCCTGACGTACGGCTTCTTCTTTCCCTACGATGGTGATCAGCTCCTGCTCTGTGTCGTCAGGCGACGGGAAGATGATCCGGGCGCCCGTCCGGTCTCGGACGCGGCGAATATTGGCCCCGCCCCGTCCGATTAAGAACTTGTGGTACTCTGGTTTGGCCTGCAGCTCAGCGGTGAAGTTGTTTACTTGCTGCGAAAGGCAGAGGACGGGAGGAGGATGTAAGTATTTAAACTTTTAGTCACCTCTTCTATTTATTCGCTCTTTCCTGCTCACCTTCTCTTCCGCCAGCTGCAGCAGCTGCTTCTTGGCTTTCTCCACCTCACCGACGGGCCCTCTGATCGTGACCTTGTCGGAGCCGGAGCCCTCAGAGGGGAAGTGGATGTGGACGCCGCCGCAGTCTTCCATGATGGAGCGCACGAGGCAGCCCTTTGAGCCAATCAGAGAGTTGTGCAGCTTGGCTGGGATGGTGACCTCTGCCTCTTTAATGTTGGCCTGGAGGGACGGAGAGGGACAGGCTGAGATTTTCATGCAGTTTAAAAACTGACGACAAAGACGAACATTTTAGAAGACGTAATTAATTCCCAACAGAGGAAACCAATAAATATTCAGTCCATCCACCTTCTGCTGCTCATCCAGGCTGGGGTTGCAGAGGGCAGGTCTGAGCAGGGAACCTCAGCCACCTCCTACAGCTCATCTGGGGCGATACGGTGGTGTTCCCAGGCCAGCCAAGAGATATAATATCTCCAGCTTCTTTTAACAAAGAAATCTTAACCCACTGTCATTTTTTCCTCTTTTTAATATTACTTTGGAGAATTTTGTACCCTTCTGTGGGATTGGAGAGATGATAAAAAAACAAGAGAAAGCGAATTTTGGCTCAGAACCATATCTAATAGTTCATCTCTGCATATGTGGTTTCAAAAAGTCGAGCGGTGTAGGGAGAATTAAATTCTGCTTTTTAAGTCTAGAACTGCCATAATGGCAAAGATGCCGTTTATTGAAGAAGTTAAGTTTATATCGACTCTTTAAAATATAAAATAAGATTAAAGCCAGCAAGCAACCCGCTGATTTTCCTAATGCAAGTTAGGAGTGTTTTTTCAGGTTAACAACTCCACTGATCGTCTATGGATATGACTCTAATCGAAAGATTTAATAAATTATTCATCCAAGAAACAAAAAGAAAGTAGATTTTAAAAATCTATTTTCTTCAAAACTCTTCAAACATCAACCAAAAGCAGCCATGTCTCACCAGCTCTCTCTGGATGGCGAGGATTCGGTCTCTGGCCGCCTCGCAGTTGTTCTTCTTGCCCGTGATGACGATCATCTCCGAGTTACTGTTCTCCGTTGGCAGGTCGATCTTGGTGTTGGTCTCTTCGCGGATCTGGCAGTGCGAGCGTCTGCCGTTAGTTTTTGTCTTAAACGCTACATTCTGATCTAATAATTTTAGGAGTCAGATTTGGACAGAACCTGTAAAAAAAATAAATCTCACCTTCTTAATGTTGGCGCCCCCTTTGCCAATTATGTTCTTGTGAAACTGCTTGAAGATGGGAACGGAGAGCGAGAAGCTATTTTCAATCTGCGAGAGAAAGAAACCTGTGTAAGGGCTGAGGGACAGGGAGAGGCAAGACGACAAAAACAGAGGGTCGTACCAGGTCAGCAATGATTTTCTGGAGAAACTTGGCGCATTTCTCCACCTCATTTTTTGGACCTCTGAGCTGGACGATGTCGCTCTTTTGCGACGGGTCGGGGAAATTGATAATGACCTAGAAGGCAGCGAGATGATAATCACCAAATTACATTACAGCTGAGTCAAAACAAATCATTGAACGGTGACGACAAGGCCAGACAAAGTCTCGGGTCACAGAGGACGTTCACCTCGGGAAACTTATCTCGAACTTCTTTGATTTTTTCTCCTTTCTGTCCGATGATCGTCCGGTGAAACTTCTGCTCCACGATCAGATCTTTGGTGCGCTCGTTTTCCTTGAAATGACAAAAACGTAAGACATAAAGCTCTTTATGTCATCTGGCTCTATCAAACCAATGAACCTATGCTTTGAGTCCATTCTCACCATCCTCTGAACCATCTCCATGAGCTCTCTGCGTGCCAGCTGTACTCCTTTAGGATCGCCCTCGATCCGCACCAGGCCACTTCGCTCAGAATCCTGCGCGATTCGAACAGACACCTTGTACTGCTCCTTGATACGATTTACTGTAGTGATACAGGGAAAACAGCAGAAATGAAATAAGAGTGAAAACCTGACATCACCCACTCTCACACCGGCACACTCACACTGAAACACAACCTGAAGAATGTCCTTCTTCACTGCCCCTAATACTCTAAAGGAGACAATGATTTAAAAAACAAACATCAGGACAAGTATCCATCGGAGTATGAATGTGTGTCAGTGTTAGCTGGTAACCACTTAAAGCAGAGAAGAAAGTGCTTGTGTGAATGGGTGAATGTGGCATGTTGCATAAAGCGCTTTGAAGGATCCGGGAGAGCAAAAAGCGCTAAATAAGAATCAGTCCATAGAGAACTATTTCTCTTAAAATGTTTAGAAGAAAACGTGTCCAAAAGGCTTTGAAAGTTGGTTCTTTTTGTCTACATGCAGTGTTTTGAGAGGGAGAAATGTTTTGTCATTCATCCAAGCCTGAAGTTCAAGCTCCATAGAATTGTACTAACTCTGTTTTGTCTTATATAGTACATGTTTGCACGTTTTAATAAAATGCTGCAACCATTTCCTATTTATCTAACAAGATATAAAGAAATGAAGGATGGAAAAGATTTCTGCAAGACACTTTAGAAGCTAAATCCATGTTTCATAGCGTCTATCCACCTTCAGACGTTTCCAGGTCCAAACTCAAAACAACACCGTGGCATCGCTGAGAGTTAAAAAGTGTCTAAACTCTTTCATCTTTAATAAAATGATCAGTGTGGCTGCTCTACCAGGTGTAACAATTAAGTTTAACATCCACGAAAACAGGATTAATGAAGCTTAACAGAGTTAGAAGTTAGCAGGGAGTTAGCTCGCTAGTTTTCATATAAAGATGATATACCAGGTTCTGACTGAGGGATTTCTGTAAAACTAAAACGTACAGCTCTGCTATCACTTTGGACATAAATGAAGACAGAAAACTAAACAGCAGTGACTTTTGTAGGGTTACCGAAGTTGGGCTAGCTATAATGATGTGCTACGTGGTGGCTAGCTACACAGCTATGGTTAGGATAATATAAACACCTGAGCAAAGGGAAGTGGGAGGATGAACGCTAAATTTTTTTTCCTCTCAAAAAAATTAACATGAGGGTTCCTGATTGTTAGGGACAAATGCAAGGCAGGAAAAAGATGCTGAAAATTGACCAAACTTCAGAAAAACTGAGACGATTGATCATCAGCACGAGGTTGGTCATCAACATACTGCTGCGTGGTTTGGATTACTCGCTATGACAAAAATCCTGATCCTCAGCTTCATGTACTCATTCAAGTCTTCGTTAGCCTCAGAATGACTCTTTTCTGACCTGTTCAAACATCTGGTGGCAAACCATGGGCCGATGGGCCGTAGTTACATCGCAAGGTTTTAAAAACTCAGCTTTTTCTGCTGCAGATGAATAGTGGTAATAAAAACTCAAAGAGGCCGACAGAGATCATGGACTATTTTTAGGGGCTTGTTCAGATTAAACAGAACAAGATACAAAGCATTAAAACATGTTAAAAACACAACAGCATTAATGGACGCAGTTTGGACCTGGAAGCAGGTCTCATACGTCATCACTTAACAGCCAGATAGGATTCATGCTCAAAGATGGAGCAGTTTTAAACCTGCTGGAGAACGCTGATGTGCTGTAGGTAAGAGCCTGGCATCTGTTATCAAAGACTAGCTCTCATGATGAAAATCAGGTCACTAACACCCGACTCATGACTCACAATCCAGTTCCCTGCTTTACAACACAAACACTGCAGGAAGTCTGAGATCAGCGACAGCCACATGACAACTTTTCAGTTTGAAAATCACTCAAAACCCTGAATTTGATGCTTTCCATTAAATATTCTACCCCAGGCAGCATTTGAATTATCTAAACTAAAAGCAACTAGAATGACTGACAGGAAAAATCTAAATACATCGATATGTGTGGATTAAATGATCATTACCATTATATAAAACATGAAATAAAAGCACTTTTAAAAACATATTCTTTGTTAGTTTTGCAGGTAGGGAGACAAACTAATGAGGTGCAACAAGGGCTCCACCTGGGAGTATGACAGATTTGCTACAGTTTAGTTTTCAGGTCAGGAGTAAAGCGATCGACTCACTGTTGGCTCCGTTCTTTCCGATGAGGTGTCTGTGGAAACGCTGATCTATGTTGATTTCGGTGTAGTCCATCCTCACCAGCTGGACACCGGGTAAGAAAAAGGAGATTTGGATTTATAAATGTGAACCAACACTCAACCAATCAAACGTGATTCTCTCTTATCTCTCTTCAGGTCTACCGAACCATAAGTGTGTGCGGCTCTTCCAAAGCTTTGTCCAACACAGCAATATTTCTTTCAGTGACAGAAGACAGTACACGTCATGTCTACCGTAGCTTTGTTGTGTTGGTGTACGTGTGTGTCTGCACTGACCAGGTCCTTGATGATCTCTTGTATCTGGGCCTGAGCCTGCTCCACCTCCTCCGTCGGCCCTTCGAGACTGATGCGCTCCTCGCCATCGGTAAACTCTATGTGAACCTACACACACAGACAGGAATAAAGGCAAGCCAGTTAGGACGTTTCCCCTTCTGTGTTGATTCTTCCATGCTGTAATTCATCTCAGCTGACGTCAAGTTTCTAAAATCAAGTGTCCTCCGCAGTCACTTTTCTCTGTCTGTGTTTTGTCCAGCATTTTTTGCTTTACTGGTCCCATTTTGCACAACAACTGCTGCCGTAACACAGCCTCCCCCCACAAAGCTTTCTGTCACGCTGCAGGAGCAGGATGTGAGACTTCTGTGTTATCTCTGGCTTTTACCTCAGATCACCCCACGCCTTCTTTGTTCTCCTTTCCTTACCCGTGGTAGCTGCTGTGTGATCCGCCCGATGTTCTGTCCTTTCTTGCCAATGATGAAGCGGTGCAGCCAGGCGGGGGCAGTCACCTCCACCACCATTACGCTCTTAGCCTGAACGGGTACAAAACATTAAAACCATGTTTGCACTGACAAATCACAGAAATAGTTTTTCTGCAATGGCTTAGTTGCAACTTAAAATAAAGGGGATATATGGGGCTTTTCCTTCTTTCCATATTAAATATTTAAAATGAGATCAGTGTACATGCAAGTAATCCCTGTGAGCCAAAGCTCAGGCTTCAGACTACTCTACACGCTCAGTCTCCAATGCTTGTACCGAGCTGACTTCAGCTCACCACGGATTTCCTTTTATGGTCACGGAAGCTAAAGCAGCTTGTTTCAGACACAGGGTGAGGTGGAGTACGTATCCTGACCTGGTGGAGCCCAAAACCAAAGTTTAAGCAAGACTTAAAACCAGATGTTGCTATAGGACTTCTGGATTGGCCAACAAATCCATCATAAATGTTTGCCTCTAATATTGATAAACTACATATAGATTAATCATTGCCCAACTCTCCCAATTTCTTTCACTGTAAACATGTGGATGTGATGTACTTGCTGCGGTTGTTAATCTTGCTGCTCTGAACTATTAAAAATAAATACATCTAAACATAAAGTCTCAAAAAAAAAAGGAAATCTAGGCCGTCTGAGTACCTCTTGGATGTACCCTGTAAATGCAACTTCAGGGACTTTTATTCTCTACATTTCTGCCATAACAAAAGCTAATTACATTAAGCAAAATGCAATCCCCATCTCTGTCCTTTAATTACAGTTTTCTCGTGTTCTCACCTTGGCGTAGACCTGTGTGAGTGCTGGTCCCAGTTTGTCAGGCTCCCCTCTGAGGATGATGGTTTCTGAGCTGGAGTCCAGAGGAGGCATCTCCACCGACACCCCCGTGGCCTCCAGGATCTCCTGCAGGGTGTTGCCCTTCGGACCTATGATGTACTTATGCTGAGACTTCTTCACCTCCACAGAGATAGTCGTGGTCTTCCGCTTCTGCGAGGAGGACATGGACAAGTGATAAGACAATCGTGGCGAGAGGATGTGGGTAAATCGAGAAGCTCGTTGAGGGATGGATGGAAACATAAGAGGAGACAGAAAGAAGAAAGAAATCAGGGAAGCAGGAAGGAGATGGGAAAAGTCAAGTAACAAAAAGACCGGACATAACCCAGGGGAAGGAGAAGGGAACAGAAGGAGGGTGACTGACAGATGAAAGTGGGAAGGCAGCAGAGAAAGTACATTTGTTTTTGCTAATCATATATATGCACTAAATGACATTAGCATTCTCATCCTGTTGTTCTCTGGTGAAATCCAATTTTCTCTCGTCATTATCTCCGGCTTGCTTATCATCGGAGCTCATCTGCTACAAACACGCAGTTCCTCTGCTTCACCCATCCATCTCACAGAGCTTCTTTAAAGTTGAGATAATGCACAAACTCTAAATAACCTCCTTAAATACAGAAACACATTAAATCAAACACCTTTGGTACAGATTAGCTTTATGGTTCATGGGATGGAGCGAACAAGTAAAACAAGACTGGTGAAACAAAATAACCACACTGAGCTGCCTGCAGTCATGCGTGTCCTTCAGTAAAACCTTAAACTAAACCGCGCGCTGCTTTCCCACAGCGAGTCGTTCAGGGTAACAGAAACACCCGAGCGTCTAAAATGTCAATGCAAATTTAGCCCGGATGAAAAAACTGGCACAAACGACTGAAAAAAGCAAATAAAAATCATGCATGAAACTAACAAACACGAGACTCCCCTTTATTAAGTATGTGATCCTATTTTTATCATTTGCTTTGTTGTTTGTTTGGATTTCTGCAAAATCGTAAAAATTTGATTATATTCTGAGGACAAATGCAGCTGGAGTCGTTATTCCTGCTAAACTGCTTGCAAGTCCACTTGAAATCTAACGCACATGCATAGTTTGCATATTGTGATGTAAATTTTCTCTGGACAAGACACAAAGACGCACAGGACCAGTGTGATGACCGAACTTGCTTTACTCTGACCAAAAGGCCCCTGACATATACGGAAAGTCTTTATTTTATATTTTTGGCTTGATATTTTTGACTCTGTGTTTTTTAAAAAACAAAAACAACAACAAAACAACAACACGTCATCATGAGTACTGATGCAAATTAACTATTTTAAGCTCAATGACACAAACAAGTGGACCACAAAAACAAAAAGAGGAAAAAGAAAGGCATTGATGGAGCAGACAGAATCGGATGATTTCCAATCAGCCACTCAGCTTCCCATATGTCCAATAATGAGCCAGTCATGAATTTGAAACACATGAACAGCAGCTCAGAGAAATAGTCACATGAACGCTCACAGCCACACGCTAGCATGCTGTCGGCATAGAAACGCTTCACTTTGAGCGCGTACACAAACAAAGGCGTAACTGTGAAAACGTTTGTAACAGCACAACCAATGACACACTTAAACCCCCCCCCTCACCCCGCTTAACATGGATATTTTAAAGAAGCTGAATTTTTTATTTTAAAGAACCTGACATTTGTCCTTTTATATAAATCTGTTACACCTGCTTTTATTGGGTAAAGGTGGCTATACAGCAGCTCATTGCACATCTATAAAATACAGAAATAAAGAATAGATATATCAACTAATACAAACAATATAAAAAAAAATGCAAAAAAGGCAGCATCATGGGTACAGAAAGGTCACAATTCTAGGGGATACAATTTACAACCATACATGATCCCACCAAGCAGCAGACATCAGTGGAGGTCGTTTTCTGGCTCAATCGCTTCGGACAGTAACGGCCTTTAAGAAAATTTCCCTTTCTCTCTAAATTTGGTTAAAAGCAATCAGTGAAAACTGTTCAGGCCATTACAAAGATTGACTTTAATCCATCTTCAACGCTGACTTCCTTTATTCTGAACAATTTTCTATGGATCTGAGGTTTAAAGTTTGTCTAGTCAACAAATAATGCTACAAAACCTTTAAGGCTAAATTCAGGCTTAAATTCAGCACACCCAGAGCACCTAGCTGTCATCTTTAACTCAAACACGTGTCTCTGTTTCTTCGAGTACCACATTTGACTGATGCTTTGGTAGTCAAATGTGATCAGACAGCCGCTCCACAAACACAGACTAGTATTACCAAGAAATAATACAATTGAAAAATACGAATTTAAATATGAAAATGTGTCGAGCCAACAAAGGTCTGGGTTTCAATCTGCTGATCGTCTGGGCAGTTTGAAAGGAGGAAGAGATGACCTTTGACCTTTTAACTCAATGTAAACATAACAGGGCATCTGATTTTTGGGGGATTTCTGACCTAAGAGGACTTAAAGTCGCTCATGTCCCATGTCTGCAGGATGGGGCATCAATAATCTCTGGAAAACAGTCTCACCTTGTCTTCGTAGATGGCTCGGATGCGGCTGACAGCCAGCGCGACCGCCTCCTTCTCGCCGGTGATGACGATCTCGTCCTTAGGCAGGCTGGACGGTGGGATGCTGATGCGGGCCCCTGTCTCAAGGCTCAGCTCCTGCACCAGCCTGTTGTGGGCTCCGGCGATGAAGGGGTGGAAGGCTTTCTCCAGGGACAGACGCTCCACCGCACGCTTGTCCTGGTGAGTGGGTGAGGAAGAGCAGGAGAACGACGGCAGACAGAAGAGTCGATCAAACGTGACGTCATGGTGATGGTTCAACACGATTCAATATTGAATAGTAAGAAACAATTTAGTTCCTAATGCTACTGTTTGTGCATCTTTTCACATTGCGAGACCAATTAGTTTCGGTTGAGCAGAAATTAGTTATTAAAACAACCCCCACCCCCCAATCCACCCACCCATGTCTGACCTGCTCAGCAGAGATCAGCAGGATCTCATGGCGAGCCTTCTCAATTCCCTCCTTGGTGCCGGTGATGCGAATGTTGGCGCTGGGGTCGTCCGGGCGTGGAATAGCAATCTTGGTGGCAGTCTTCAGCTCCAGCTCCTGCAGCTTCTCACCGTTCTTCCCAATGACAAATCGATGGTGCTCCTTGGGGATGGCGACCGTTGCCGACGCCTGGAGGAGCAGGAGAAAGTTTTCAGGAGCAAGTAAGTTAGATTTGTAGTGTTTCCCAATGGAAATAAGCCTTCTTATTTATCAGGGTACAGCAACAGCCACAGAAATCCCTTTTAATTCTAATGTTGGTGGAGCTTTGTGCACATGTACAGACATATGCAGAAAATACCTTTTTTTAATAGTCATCATCTACCAGGGAAAGTAACAGGATGACATAAAATTCCTACTATCAAAGTTTTCTTTAAACTTGGTAAAAAGCATTCGACCTTGAAAAGAGAACAGAGAGCCTCTGCACTTTTTTCAACCAGTAACTGCAGCTCAGCTAAAGGGCTGCACCTCAGTGCACCAACTGAAGTGGAAATCAGCATGTTTGCTGCTGAGGCACAAAGGCCACCCCTGGGAGCTGATGGTCATTTTCCGGCTCAACTTTTTGTCCTAAACTGGCCTGATAGGATTATTCGAGCCGCAGCCGGTATTTGCCCTCCGTGTGTGTCTTTGGATCACGTTTCAACATTACGCAGAGCGAAACAAAAACATTTTTTAGCCACCGGTTACACTGTTCTGATGTTTCTGCTTCACAGTGATTTTTGTTCAAAGATAGATGGCTGCGTATTCAAATTCTTTGCTGCGGGTTTAAGTTTATCTGAGTTTCAGAGGTTTCACTGTTTTTGCAAGTCACACAAGAATGAATAACAAATGTAAAGCCTGCACTGCACAAATACTGACAACAGACTGTCTTCTGATTGGTTGCCCCTCACAAACAAGAGGTTCGAACAGCAGGCAGATGGAACTCCTGTGCTCGCGGCCAACGCTGTGTACCTGAGATGACCATATTAAGGATATCCTGTCTCTTTAACTTCGTACAGAGCTGGGGTATTAAACATAAGGCCTGAAGGCCAGAATCGGCCCAGCAAAGACTTCAATCCGGCCCACTGGAAGGCTTCAGATAACAGGAGTACATCGATTTTGAACAAATGAAAAAATTTTCCCTTGCGGTATCAATAAAGTATCAAACTATTGTCTTAAGATTTGCAGATTTTCCTCCTGATAAAGTTTCCACCTGCAGCGTCATTCATTCCACACCAAAGAGTTTAGTAATAGATGAACAATTAAATGACTGAAAAGTTCCAGTTTTTCCAGCATCTACTAGAACTTTTTGTTTTTCTTGTATGTGTTATAAATACAGCACACTCTGGGCAATGAGCTAACAGAGTTTTACACATTTATAACGAGGAGGACCTCACACATACTGTTGAAATTATTCTTTTCTGTCTTTTTTCTTTAAAAAAAATTAAACGTAACCATCTCATATGTTGAGTTAAATCTCTTTATACTGACAGAAAGGGCAGTTACGCTGACCCACTATGTAAAATGACTTTAACATCCCTGTGTTAGAGCATTAATAACCTTTTGCTCACATTGATTACTTGTACACACTCTGACCAGCTTTTCAAACAGAAAGTAAAAACTTACATATATGTATATCCTCCCAATATTTTCCAAATCCAGATCACTTAATTATACTGTAAGTAGTACGAGTGCATTTACCTGTGTCTGCAATCGAGCTACGATTTCTTTGCGAGCCTTCATCACGGAGTCCACTTTGCCAGTGACCATGATGGACAGGCCCTGGTCTTTGGCCAGAGACAGCTCGATGTGCGCTCCCGTTCGCTGCATGATGTCCAAGCACACTTTGGCCTCCTCGCCCTCCCCAAACTGGCTGTTGTCCTTGTAACGACGCTCCTCTAGGGGCACGTGGAACACCTGGGTACAGACGAGTTGAAAGTGTTTTTTTCTTGCTTGTTGTTCCCAGAACATGCATCTTTCATTGGACCTGCTCTACTGCAGCTAAAAGGCCTGAGGCTAAATTCAGTTACAGCCATCGTCATTAAAAGAGCTGAGAAATGCATTCATTCACTTTTAACAGTCCCCACAGTGGGCTCCTCACCTGGGTGATGACAGAGGCTTTGATGGGTCTGATCTTGCTCCCCCATGCCGAAGGCGGCTCTCCAGCCTTCTCCCCTGGTGCTCCCTTCTCCGGCAGTGGAGGGAAGGCCTCCAGATAGGTAGGGATGTAGGCCTCATCCTCCGGGACGCAGCCTGGCCCGGAGAGATAAAGATAAAAATGGCAAGGAAGGAGTAAGAAAACAGTATGTCTAGGGAAGGATTGTTAACAACAAAGATACCAAACAACAATAAAAATAAGCCTGTGTCAAAAACACATAATGCACATATCAGAAAATCTAAACACATTAAACTTGGGCTAATAATTTGCTCACTAGTTTGGGCTCGTGAGGGGAAAACTCTAGCAAGAATAAAAATAAGTGGGAAGGTGCAGGTCGTTACCTGTGATCTCCTGGTCCTTGAGACCACTGCGATGCTCTGCAAAGCTTTCCGGGGTCAACACTGCCACTGAGCTCATGGTTCAAGACTTATTCCACTATTCCACTGAAACGGAAACATGGGAATATTGATTTTTTTTTTTAAAGAAAAACAATAAATCAGAACCTTAGAGGAGGAAACGCACTGCTGTGTTTTCATGAAATCTCAGACTGATAAAGCACTAACTACGATCAAATTGCTTTCACATTGTTTCCCTCCCTGTGCTCTCTAGGACTGCTTAGAGAAGGCCCTGAAGAACCACACTCCCTCTGTGGCTCTGCCGCGTTGCACCGATGCTGCACGCTGCACCTGAGACGCTCCAATTAGCACTTAACAAGCGTCAGATAAACACACAGTGCTGCGAAGCCTCGGGGACGGGGTTATCACAGGTCAAACGCGCAGAGATGTCCAAGACAACTGCTGCGGACATTCCTCGTGATGCACTATCACAGGTCAGATCTGCTCAGCTCGCATCACAACAGTGGGTCCCATAGGATTGTGAGTCCAAAACATAACCCACAGGACCTCCAAGATCTCTGCTAACTCAAGCTTCGAGGGGTTCATGCACAACTAGACTAAAAACATCGATTTATCTAGCAGCACATAAATAAAGACGCTGTTTTGGCGGGTCTTTAAAGTCGAGCTGCAGCCTGTCCTCTGCATTTAACACACACACAGTGGACAGCAAAGAGATGGCGATGAACTTAAGTGGCATAAAAAGAGCGCTTCGTTCTTGCTACAAGTATTCTAAAATGTGTAATCAAAACCTTCAAAGAAGCTGTCAAATAATACTTATTTGGCCCTTGAGTTAATCCACTACATACAAGTCATTTTAAGTCATTTTAGCTCCTCTCACTTTGAGGCCATCCTCCATTTAAGCCACGTTTCTTCTGATTGGCTGCCCTTCATAAAAAGTTTTAAGCTTTCTGAAGACTCTCTGAGCTCACAGGGATTAGCTGCACATATGCTGCAACTTTGACCATGTTTAACATCAGCATCCTCTGCTGTCACAGTATATTTACACCCACAGCAGGCTAAAGCTACACCCCGACCACATGAGAAGGTGACAGCACCCCATTTCTGCTGCGATGTCCAGAAACTCAAGGACAAGCCTTCGAATGAGTTATAGAGATAGTCATACACTTTATGCAGTTTAAAGTATAAATATTAACATATTAAAGGAATGCAGTTTGAATTAGAAAGAATGTTAAAATGTAGTGTACTTTAATCACTTCTATTGTAATCTGAGATAAAATGTTATTGAGGAGAAACATATCATTTCATTTATTTTCGCTGCAGCCATAAAGTTCTTTATGCGAGGGGGTGAGGACGTGGGGGTGAGGGGGTGGCAGGCACTGAACTCTGTAACTGTGCATTTTGGGAACACTGATACAGTCTTGTGATTAAGGGGAATTTTTATTTTATTTATGGCAACAGAGCAGTAAAATAAAAATCAGTGAATACTACAAGCACACATTTATGAGTCCAATTAGCAGCTGAGGAAGTTAATCTTACAACTTTTGTTGAGTTGTTTTAAGACAGTTTTTGTTTTGTTTTTATCTTTCCGGTAAAAATGTAAGTGATTGGGGTTTTTTTTATTGTTTTATTATCTAACATCTATGAAGCTCTCCAGTCGAGCTTTCTCTCCTTAAACGTGACTGTGTGCTCTCAGGGATGCCATATGAACCAAGCTCTTCAAGTCCACCCGCATTGCAAATGATCCAGCAGTTGTACCCTCTAAAGACAAAGCTGTGGAGGACGTGATCATTCAGAAGTAGTATTGTCTGCCAGAACTGTAGAAAGAGAGCCCAGGCTTACCTGCAAAAGGTCAATTGCCAGAGAGTCCGTCCAGTTAGCGGCTACCGTAGGCGCTTCAGTGTGAGTGTGTGTTTCAGCTCCTGGATGCACAGGAAGGAAAATAAAAAGAAAGAGTAAAAGTGAACAAAGGTAAATCAAACAGCTCTACAACACGGAGGCTGGGTAAACACCCACACTGCACTGCACCTTATACCGTCTCGAGCTGATTCACTCTCCTCCTCAATTCCCTCCCTCTCCTCTGCTCTCTAACAATCCTCCCTCTGAGATTTCACAAATTCAACAGCTAAGGAAACCTGAGAGCAAACGCTTCCAAACACCACATGTGACAAAAAATAAATTAAAAAAATAGATGTCCCACTACTTTCCTTTTTTTTGCACTGTAAGCAAAGCTGCAGTGTCTCTTGAAAGCGTGTTTAATAGCTTTAGTCCAACAGCAACCAGCTGGTCAGATACAGGAGCAGTGCCATTTTAAATGTCATATTTCAGGATCATATTTGTGCGGGATGGAACAAGCTAAAAGAGCAATTACAGCATAATACCATTTTAACACTGACGTTACTTAAGGGGAAATAAAAGGGATACTTAAGTGGCAGTGGGATCTTAAGATACCCTCAGACTTTACACAGTGGGAGCAAACATAAAAACAATCTTTTGAAGAGCTTATAAATTATGAACGTGCAGCACTCTTACAGATAAAACTATCCGAGACACAGTAATGTAAGCAGCTGAAATTAGCTCCTCGCTAAATGCGTCTTTACACATTAATGAAGCAGCAATAATTAATGGAGTTACAATGTAATGTAACCGTCTAGGGTCATTTAACTTCAGGTACATTTTGGAGCTATTACACAAGTGTTTTTTTTACCACAGTGAACGTTTTAAAAGCGGGACTTTTGGCAGTAGATGCGCTTTCCGTTATGGTGGTGGCGGTGCTTCGCAGCACGCAGAGGGTTGTGGGGGTTAAACGGGCTCCCACTGTGGGTCACCACCTGCTTCCACGATGTTAGTTTGCTAACATTAGGCGAGAAAACTAGAAACAAACGGAGGAAATAGGAGCACCGTTATAACTATCAGTTGCAGCAGCTAAATAAAAAAGGCAGCCGTACACGGTGCTAGCTAACCGCTTCGCTAAACGCACCTTTCTCCAGCCGACTGATGTATTTCTTGCTAGCTTGAGGACGCACTGCACGGCTGGTCCTAACTAACTAACATCGGTTAAAAGCAAACTAAAGGTCTCAAAATATTAGTAAGACACTTTCGCTGAGCTAACACGCATCGCTTCGCGCCGACCTCAGCCAGACATGATTAGGCGCAAGGACTTTCTGATAATCGGCTAAAAAACAAGCCAGGCGGACGGATAACCAGCTCCAGCACGCTAGCTCTCGGGACGCTAACCTTGCTATCCCCGGCTGCTTGTCGCTTGCAGGCGAACCGACTCTATCGCCACCGTAACTACACTTTAACTCCCCCAATGCATTCATATGTGCATTAAAAAGTAAAGATAAAATAAACCTAGAAATCCTACCTTTCAAAGAGAAAATCTACCAGAGGGTGTGTGTTTGACAGGTGATGGTGTAAACACAGATGTGATTGGTCTAGGAGCATTTCCTCTGCCGGCGGAGTGATACCAACCAAGCGCTGCGACTCAACGAGTATAAAGGAAATGCCGCAGTATCTTTGCGCGGCACGAGCATCCCAGTTAAATAGGTCCTCGTGAAATTAGACTCACTTAGCTCATTTGACTGTGAAATTTAACCGCATGATATTTGCATATGGTTTTCTGATTGGTTAAAAGTAATTTAAAAAAATGTTTGTATGTTATTAGCCATTGCAGCTTCTCACGTCCATCAAACTGACCGGCTCTACTTCTCATTCATAATGGCTAGCATGCTTTTCAGGAGTCGGCGCATCATACTTTTCCTGAAGTCTACAAATGTCTGACCTGGAGTGCAAAAACGATCACGTACAACTAAATAAAATACTGCTGTTTTTTGTGTTTGGTTTTTTTTTAATTTTCCAAATAAGATAAATGTCACTTTGTGTGTATGTAAATCATGTTTAAAGGATATTAAGTTATTTGGTTGTAAGATAACTTAACATTATGGATTTTCAATAGGTCAAACTTTAAACTAAAACAGGTTAGGTATAGTTGTGGTTGGAAATTTTCATCCATGAATGCCATGGTGACTTTTGGCTTTTTTCCAGGGTGGAACGATTGTACAGGATAAATCTTAATTAACTTTAAAAATCAAAAATTGGGTGCAAAAGTTTGAATTTCTTTTCCACACAGAATCAAAACTATACATATGGGCTCAATATACATATGTCCCTACAAATATTTGGTTAAATGTCCCTTAGTAACTTGCACTTCAACAAGATGCTTTTGGTAGCCGTCAATAAGCTTCTATTATAATATAAATTAATGTTTTTATTATTAATATTATCTTTTATGGTCAGGTTTTACGCATCTGTTGATTTGAGATGAAGTAAAAAAAAATTGGAGGTAGTCCTTCTTCAATATTCCAGCCACTTTATCCAATGTATCAGTAGCACTGACAGCAAAACAGCTCCAGAGAACTATTTTACCACCACCACCGTGCTCGACAGCTGGTACAGTGCTGTTGTGTTTGAAAGCCTCACATTCACTCCTTCAAACATACCTCTTGTCATCGTGAACAAGTAGCTTAATCTTTTACTCGCCTGACCACAAAACTTTTCACCAGAACGCATTTGGTTGTCAGTGTGCGCAACTGTAAATTTCATTTGAGTTTAATAGTGTTGATTTTGGAGTAGGGGCTTCTTTCTTTGTTTGCCCCCTCTCAGTTCATGACGACGGAAAACTATCGATTGCAGCCGATCATGATCACTAACGAGATCAGGACTCGGTCTTGTTAAGTTAAAAGACTACGCAAGACAATTTTGAGCCTCCGTGGATTAGAGAAAAAACAAACTAAACACAAACAACAACAAATCGGACTACAAGTCAACTCCGGTGTTCCGAAAAGTATAGTATTTGCGAAGAGACTGTCTCAAAATGATGTCATAGGCTAATAGTTCAATCAATATTAATGGCGAATTCAAATTATTAATAAGGGACATTATGCCACCAATTATGTCCTCCACTCCCACCCCAAAACAAACCACTCACCTCACATTATCCGAACCTCAACATGACATGTAAAGCCCACTTTACGTGTTGTGTGGTGCGGCTGGACTGATCGCTCGGACCCAATAATGGACGGTTCATTGCAGTTCAAAAAACAGACACTAGGTGGGGGTAGGAGACCAAAAAAAAGTTCAGGTGCACCTGCTTTCTTGACACCTGTGCTGGTTTTACACCAACACTATCACGCGTAAATAAATCAGAAGTAAAACATTTGCCTTATTTATTTTGGAAGACCAAATATGCGCAAAGTTTCAATAAACGTCCACTAAATATTTTCACAGTAAGAGTCCGATAACAACTAATCCCAATCCAAGTCCAAACACGAAACACAGAGTTTTAGCTAAGGTTAAGGGCATGTTGTGTGACATAGTATCTAATTATATTTTCAGTCATATTTCCATTAGTAAAGGCTAAACCGCTTCAACAGTTGTGCTGGCAATGTTACAATTTCAAACTAAAAAATTTTTTTTGAACCAAGACTGTATATACCCAATATATACATCATATACACACTATATTAATTCGCACAGTTGCTGATTTTGTAGTCATCCCCCACCTTACGTTTTTAAGCCGTAGTTTTATTTTGAAAAACAGTACCGGAAGCTGCAGTTATCTGCTGTTAGCTTGGCAGCAGTAGCTCTCGGGGGCAGCTGCACTCCTTCTTTACCTCTCATATTCTGCTGGTAACAAAGGCGAGACAACAAGAGAGGGGTGATGGGTGCTCAGGCAGCAAGCCTGTCAACAATGAACTGAACTGGTTTTGTTTTTATTGGATATTTGTTGCTAACAGCCTGTCTAACTACCGATTTATTTCTTCTCGTGCGCGAGCCCAGTTTAAAGTTCATTGATGTAGGTGAGCTGTGGACAGGTTTTCAATCCCGAAGCTTTCGATTTTCTTACAAAACATAAGCAGAGTATGTTGGACTTCGAGCACTAAAGCCGAATGACTGAGGAGAAACATTCAGACCCGTCTTCAACAACACTGGTGAGTTTCTGTCTGTGTAATTATATTTTATATGGAGATTTTGTCTATATTTGGCATTTTAACAGGTGCACTTTGCTGGATTCCGCGAGCACCTGTTCCTTCTGTGGAATATGTTGGGATACAGTGACAGTGTTAAACTTAACAGTGGTTATTTTAAAGACTGTATTAGCGCAGAGTTTTCTGTGGTTTTATGCTATCTTTTCAGATTATATTTCAGAGACTGTTATGGACTCATAAGTCCATTAAGTGCTCTAGTCTATAAACAGTGATTGTTTTGTATTCACTACATAAGAAGATTGTTTTTCACAGTAAAATCGTGCTTCTTTGTAGGATCATCCACATCTGGCGGGTCTTAATGTGGGCATTTTTATATAGCCTATTCATAACCTCATGGTAGTATGCTCTCTCCTCATATCAACCAACTCTGTTTCTTTCGATCTCCATGAGAGCCCACCGCGCTGTTTGTGTGTGTATGTTTTCCTTTCTGGCACACCTTTTCCTGTCTCCTCTTCCTGGCCAACGTGGAGCTTCCATCCACATCACAAGTATTGATGCTGCTGAGGTAGAGAGACTCTCTTAAAGCCCCCATACCCAATTTATATACACACTCAATCCATTAGGCTTCAGACCAGATGGCATAATGTGGACAGACACACACACACACACACACACACACACACACACACACAAAACACTGCTAATGGACGTCCTCTCTAAAGGCACTTAAGTATTGTTCTCAAGCTGGATTGATTTAAGGGATGACACTATATCTGATATGTATTGGATTTACAGGATAAATACACTGAGTGAAATGAATGAGTGGCCCACTGACCCAGCCTGAGCATCTGTATGGTCCAGCAGACTGGAGCATGCAGCTATTGAGCTAAACAGGTCAACAGAAATGTACACAAAAGAGATGAAATCTGTTGGCCACTGCTTGAAAGAAAGAAATGTCTGGAACGTGACCTTAAAGTGTGTTGTTTTATCTGCAAGTGCATTAGAGTGGTGTTTTTTTAAACGTCTACACAAGTTCTTTGTGAGCAAACACACCCTCCTGTTAAAGGTTTATAAGTTACTCCTGTGGACGGTGATGATAACTGGAGTGAGATGTGGAAAGACCTGCTTCTACACACACACACACTGCTACAGCTCCTGATGGGTTAATGCTTCTAATTCTGAATTATACCTCAACATATTTCTAAGAACTGTAAAGTACTTAAAAACTCAAAAAAACAAAAAACACATAACGTGACACAGAAACATAAGACAAGGATGGGGTTAGGGGGGTGATTGTGGTGTAGCGCTGTTTGATTTACTTTGTTGAAATGTGAGACTCTTGCTTTTCTGTCTCCTTGTTTAAAGCTTTGCATCGTGTACATGCCCTCCAAACCTGTCTGACTAGCTGGTGCACTCTTTCAGTAACAATTGTCTACTGGTGTTTGTGTGCGGTTGACTTTAGTCAGATTCTGAGTCAAGGAGCTATTATGGTCACAGTGACTTGTCTGTTTGCATGTGTAAGTATAATAAAGATGACAAATATCTTTAAAATGTGGTTTCCCTGAGACAGAACAGCTTATGTATTTCTTACACCAAGCCTTCAATCTTTTATAAAACTGTCGTCAATAGCGGTTTTTGATCGGGCCGACATGGGCGGTTGCGTGGTGGGGGCAGTACCACAGGCATCTCCAAAAGAAGTTGCTCGTACTCGAGCTGCCCCAACATCAGCCAGCGCATTTTGGAGATGGCAGCGGTTTTCTGCTGCCCATTTGCGGGGAGGGCGCCCTCCCCAAAGTAAACTTTATTGTCATCTGCGCTACATACAGTCCAGTATATAGAGAGACGAGGCGACGAGGCTCCAGTTACAGCAGTGCAAGTTAACAAACAATAACTATAAGAAGAGTAAGAAAATAAATATACACTTTAGGCGTAGGGGTAAAGGGATCAATAACAATTTAAAATGTATAATTTACAGTTTGATGATTTAAAGTCTCACACACAACCCGTCGAAAGGGGAGGGTGTGTAAGGTGTAGGTCTATTAGGTTATGTTGTGGTGATCCTCGGGTTGAGGGATGGGTGTTCATACTGGAGTATAAAATTAAAACCAATGGAAGATGGACAAGAAAAGTTCAAATCCATCAGGTGCTCAGTTTAGAAAAAAGAGAAAAGAAGATGCAGGTAAGGAGATGTGTGATTGGATAATGGCAGGTCATCCTGAAACAATCAGAATCAGAATACTTTATTAATCCCTAAGGAAATTATGTGGGTTACAGTTGCTCCAAGAAGAAATTTTAAAAATAGTAACAGTAACAGACTAAACACCAAACAATATTACAGATTTTACACATTTAAGAAATAGCACTAATATATACAGATCACTCAGTTATAAATATCAAGAATTAACAGAGGTGGTTATAAATAAATATCAAGAAAATTGACACGAATATTACAGAGTGGAAAAGAG